ACTTACTCTCCACAGTGCTGACCTGCATCATCTCAACCTCTTAAATTTAATACTGCTTTCTATTGCTCTATAATCACAAGGTTTGTACCCTTTTTCAGAAACAAATTTCAAAGACTTTTTCTATGACACAGATCAATTTTTCCAGGACTCCAGATTTCATCTTAAACCCGTTCATTTCCAAGATTTCAAAATCAATTCTTCTTACTGTCTACATACATTTCTTAAATAATGTAAATTCTAAAAGCTTTACTGCTTGAGTTGAGCAGATTTCCATGACTTTCCAGGACCTGTAGTCTTTGTCCAGGACTTTCCAGTCCTGGAAAATGTCAGAATGAAATTATAGGACTTTCTAGGTCAGGATGCCTACAAACCATGTCATTATGAGTTTTAAATAATGGAAATAAAGTTATGTTTTGCAAAACATACCTGGCCATTTTCAGAGTACACAAAGTAATTCCTTGTCCGTCCTTTTGTAACATATGTTATCTGAAGACTATTTTCCTTGTTTGTTCTTTCTTCCGCGAAGGTGACATTAATCTCAGTGATTTTCAAATTACTTTTTGGTTCCCTATCCTTAAAACAAATTTAGAGTGACAAGATAATCACATATGAACTCATAAAGTAGTTTAACCCTTTAACTCCCAGAAGTGATCAACATAAAACTTCTCCTTACAATACCTATACATTCTTCAGCAAACAGGTAATGAGAATATTCAAACTTATCAGGTAGATGCTGCTATCTTGATCTAGCACTAAGTTCTCATAACTAATTTACAAGGAAACATGTAGCAGCTACAGGGGAGAATTAACAATCAGATCTTGGGAGTTAAAGGGTTAATTACATAATTTCATTTAGCTACATTCCAAGACAACAATGTTATTGTCACATGTTGGTCAGAGTATCTCTGTCCATAAATTATGATAAAGATATCATGTTTTAGAGGCAATAGAAATTCTTGCCCAATTTTTCCAATATCCAAGCATGACAACTTATATACCTGATCTCTAATGTAGTAAGCAAGTGAGTTGTCCGCTGCAGATAGAACAAAAAGTCTTAGGTTCCAACTGTTATCTTCTTTTCCTTTTTTTCTTAAATATCCTCTCAACGAGCCTGGAAACATAAATTACAATAAGCCAATTAGTAAACATGAATTATCAATTTTTAAATCAAAATCAGTAGGAGAAAAAAAAAAGTTCATTTTAAATTAATTTACAAACTAAGAAAAAATTACTAGCACAACAAAAGAGAGTACATCAGTGTACAAGTTATTTGTACACACACACACAGACAGATTGATTTACAGGGTTTTCTAAAGCTAGCCTCTAACTGTACCTGTTAAATAACTTGGCTCTGGTGCACCATCAATAAACTCTGTTCGTTCATATTTTGCTCTTATCCACTGCTCTCTGAGCACACTATGAATTTTCACAAAATTAAAAAAAGGAAAATGAATGAGGAGAGGAAAATGATGGGAAATCATTTCAAAATTTTCTATGCCATATCAGGTATAAATTAAGAACAAATAAACCATGCTGCTTGGCATTTTCTTTTGAAGTTAACAACAAAAAGCAATGTTACATAAAGCATAAAACACAAAAAGACTCCTACAACTGAATTGAGCTGTTTCACAGTTCACAGTCACACATTTATTGAATGCACAACTACTAGTAAGGCACCTCCAGTTGCAAATATCCTTCTTACAGGAAGACCCTTCAGGTTTAACACATAAACTCCCAATATTTGATTGTTAATTCTCTCCTCTAGCTGCTACACATTTCCTTGTAAATTAGTTATGAGAACTTGATGCTAGATCAAGATAGCAGCTTCTACCTGATAAGTTTGAGTGTTCTCATTGCCTGTTTGCTCAATAATATGGGGATATTATAGGAGGAAGTTACACCTTCATCACTTCTGGGAGTTAAGAGTTAACAATTTGAAAATCTTAAACAATTATCTGTTCACTCACTGTAGTATTAATGTAGCCCCAAGTATTGACAATAAAAAAGTGTGTAATTCTTAACCATTGATTAAAAAGTGTACTTACTGTGCATCTGATGGCTTTGGTCGCCGATAGCAAAGAGGGACGTTCTTGGCCCATACAGCATTCCCCTTAGCATTACCATGCTCTTCCATAAACTAAGAAGAAGAAAAGAAAACAACAGGAGCAAGAAAAAAAGATTATTATAAGAAATTGTTTGACTTAACACCAAGGGCGTCTGGTCCACAGTTTATTTACCTGCTGTACAATATCTCTCTCCACTCAGTTCTACATGACAATGTCAGACAAATATCAACGAGATTCCAAGACTGCTTGATCGTTATTGAAACATTACTGGTGCTCTGACTGATAATATTTATAATTATTTGTAAACAGAATATTGTTAACTTAAAAAATGTCAGTACATAAAAAGTTGATCTGAAAGACATGCATCAATAAATGTATAAGAAAATAATTAAAATAATTTCTGATCTGCTGTATACTCGATAACAAGCTAACACATTTAAATTGCCTGGTTGTTCAATTACTATTATGTCATTATTGAATTATTCAATCTGCTCCCTTTTATCTTATTTTCCAAAGTGTCTTAGTTAACCCTTTAAACCCCATGAGTGACCAAGACAGAATTTCTCCTTACAAGTGATGAGAATGAAGAAAAATATCAATTATGGGATTACTAATTAATCCAAAACCAAATTCTCCAGACTAACATGATGAGAATCACTTGACAGACAGTAAAGAGAATTAATAATGAGATCTTGGGAGTTAAAAGGTTAAGACAACAGTTGACAGTCACTGTGTTGCAAAATTCTTTTCTTTTTCACTCCACTTAAATAAATTGTGGTGATTTCCTTACATGTAAAATACTAAATTACAGTTAAAATTTTTTGGGCATGTTGTTTGGTTGTTTGGTTGTTATTTTTGGTTTTAGTATCAGTCTGCAGACTTGCTTTGTTACAATAAATGCCTACCTGGTGATACCTAGTCTCCTATGGAGCCATTCTTTGGATGTCAAGCAATGTTCCCTCCAAAAGAATTGTGTGACATCCAAAAAATGAATGGCTGCAAAGGAGACTAGGTGATACCAGGAAGTCAATTGAAAATCTCAGATGAAAAGCGATAAATTACTCCTACACCTGAAGATATATGAGGATTAAATTTTATTGGTTGACGAACCGTTGACAATTTCTCCAATTTTTTTAACTGGGGGATTGTGTATAGTTACTTCAAGAATTAAAAATAGGAAAGTATTTGTCAAATAAATAATTGGCAGTCAGCTTAAGGGTTTCAAAAAAGAAAACAGAAAAGAGAACAAGTAGACTTACTAATAGTTTGACCCAGTAATATGAATATATTTCCTTTCAAATATCAATATTGATATTCTTTATGTTGTTATCAACACATTTACTAATGTGCTGACAAGGAGAATTTGCTTGACAAGTCAAGAGCTTCTTTAGTTTGTGATCATTTCCTTTATTCTCCCAACCATTATGTTTGATTCAGCCCAGATACTGTAAGGAGAAATTAGATGCCACTCACTCTTAGGGGTTATAGGGTTAAAAAATGATAAATGTCAAATATGTTCATATTTCATATTAAAATATTTTATATAATTAGCTGGATCTTAGTTATGATCTATAAGAGGACATACACCTACATGATATCACCATAAACAACATTTTTCTTGTGTATCATACAAAACAAATAATAATAATTAATAACTATAAAATGGGATTGAAAGTTTTTAAACCTTAAAAAATACTGAATCACAACAAACAATTAACAAGCTATAAACAAATGTAGAATCCTCAGGAAACAGGCATTAGTAAATTATTTCTAGAAATATCTTTGTTACAATTATATCCTATAAATAGTATGTTAATTCTAAACTATGCAGTCACTTAGCTCTAAGATAAAATGAAAAAATATTTTTGCCGTTCAACTCTGGGCCTTTCTCTTTATCTTGATTAATTCTGATACGTATAATTTTTTAGATTTTCTACATATTTGTCCGTAGAACAAATGTCACAGTACAGCTTATACGATTATCTTTGTTTCCTGTTGACTTCTCGTGCCAGTCATAATATGGAATTTGAACACAACCGTTTTGTATTTATTTGTTGTTCATAATAGCTGTTATATTGAATATTTATTTCGGAAAACTCAATAAGATAATTATAGACGTCAATTGAACTGTAATCAATACAAATGGTCACGTTAATTTTGCATTGTAAACATTTCTGATAAATTACAGCTGAGCAAGGAAATGAATAGGAAACTCTTTGAAATATCTCATCACTGCTTATGCAATGGATGATTTTCCTGGCAGAGATAATTAAGGCGGAGTACAGCGAAAAAATCAAGGTGGTGACCTTGTTGATAAAGATTCGAACTGAGTATTTTCCAGGTTTTCGGCGTAAATCCTATGTATGTGTTAGTGTTGATTTCAGAAACTCATGGCTAAACCTGACAAAAAAATTGAATTAAGCCTTTTCATAATTTACTAATAAAGTCAAATGATCGGAGAAGATGGTTTAGAGCAGTGATATCTGAGAACACACGGGGTATTGTAAGATTTTAAGAGGAATCTTAGCGCTTTGACGCACTGAAAGTCGCACACACCACGACTAATATCGAGTTTACCTTCAATTTTTCATCGGTCCAAGTATCAAGCCTCAGACTCTTGACCACAGAGAGCTGAGGTCCTAAATTCCGATGAATTCCACTGCACGTGATACAAATGAACAGCCCTTTTGACGCCGATGACCATTCGGGATCTGCACGACAAAACATTACAGGAAGTTTCGAAGGGAACCAAACGAAAATTCATAATAAATTTTCAGAGTGGGCCCTCTGGCGAAGTAGAATGACGACCTTAGCTTAAAATTCTTACTTGGAGCTCCGCAATCCGCACATGTGTTGTTTGAAGGCTGTTTCATCAACTCTAATATCGCCACTCTGTTCTTTTCCGTCATTTTGAATGCAGCGAATCCATCGCGTACCAACAGGGGGTGGGGGAAGTACTCGCATCATTTCCTCTAGTACCGTAATTCATTCCCATTCTTTGCGCAACATAAAGTCATTTGAAACCACATGGAACCACATGAAACCCACATTTGGAAACGAGCAGAAACAAGCGGATAGGACTTCTACGTGCGAATATGGAAAAAATCACTCGTAGAGATGGGATTATTTCGAATAGTTACGTTTTTGAAAGGTTTGTTTAAATATGAGGTTTAGTTCCGATAGTATAATGTTTTTACTATGTTGGTAAAATTAAACCATTGAGTGAATTCAAATAGCACAAATTCTTGAATGTTAGCTTAACTGCTATCGCCAGTTACCTCGTGAGTGTTGCCATAAAAAGCTACACTGGTTATAACTTCCAAGTCAAAGTATACGTATAGTTAGAGACTAGTAGGTTTGGACCCTATGATTTTTCAATTTATAATGTACAACATCTTTCTTTTTAAAAGATTTAAGTATGAGCTTTTCAGGCTCATAAAGTTGAAGAAGAAAAATTTTCCACGTCGAAGAAGAACTTGCAAATTCAGGTAACTTAACAAAGCCGGATGTTCGTCAAGGAAATTACGGAAGATAAAGGGAAATCGTACTCCAGCAAGTTTTTCTTAACGAGAGTCACGAACGAGTTTTCCTTTGCGAGAATAAATAACGAGCATTATTTCTTAAGGAGCAAAATTGGCAAAGAAAATTAGCCGCAGACTTGAGTAAAAGCACTTTCAGGTAATAATGGTCAAGGTATAGTTCAAAACAGAGTATGTGGCAAGGAACTCGATCAGTATTTCCATTGTAATTTTCAGTCAATTTGCTATTAAAAGCCACTGAAAAATTATCCGTTTTTCTTTAGCTTTGCCAGCAGAGGGGAACTGGTTTTGGCAGTTACACCGCAGATGAACAAATTTCTCCACCATATGGGCGCCTTAAGGGCCTGAAAGATTCCGTTGCTTAGCGAATAGAGTAGCATTGTTTACTCTGTCATGACTTCAGCAGGAATGGTAGAAATCTGGTTCTCTGATGAACCGCGAAACAAGACCACGAAAGTTTGCAGTATTGCCCAAACTACGTCAATCGCTTAAACAAAACCACTTCCTTGACAGACAGATCTTTACAGACTACTAAACAAGGAAGTGTCATTGAAATGGGTTTTGTGTTGCTGTTCTGAGTGTGTGTACAATTTAAATGTAGATTTGGTGCTTACGTTAACTGTTATCCAGTTAGACTAATAGCTTATAAACCAACCCAAATGAAATTGAAATCCCTATTTATTGATATCGTGACCGTTGTCACGTGACAAGGCTTCGTGCGTAACGTAAGAAAACATTGCATGTTCAATAGCGCGAATCGGCATCTTAGAGCGCGATTCCACAAATACATCTCATGAATATCATCAATCTGGATAATTTAGAAAGGCCTTTAGGATAAAAAAAAAACTACAACTTTCTCATTCGTGATTGTCAAGTAATCGCACGACGTGAAATACATCCAAGGCAAATACGTAGTTTGTCTCTAAGGTGATTCAAATAGTTGAATAATGCGGTGAACATTACCTGTAGAGTTTCGTCATTCCAGTTTCCCAGATCAATAGATTTGATCCTTGAATTTGTACCTCCAAAACTAGTGTGGACTTGAGCACAGTTTTGGCATAAGAATAATCCTTTCTTCAGACAAGTGAACCTAGGATCTGTAATGGGAAACCATATATGCTAATTTCAAAGCTTAAGCTCATTAGGAAGTGTCACATCGGTTCATCCTTCAGAGTAATTCTTGGTCTGAGCCCTATGAGTTGATCAGTTTGTCAGTTCAAATGCGGGGCTTTATTTACCTTCCTGTTGGAGAGCTTATAAAACTCCTCTTATTACAAAAGCGAAATGATGGTACTACGACGGAAAGAAACTGGCACCTCTAATTAACGACCTTAATTAGAGCACAGCTTTCGTCGAGGCACCGACGTTCAAAACAAATAGACATTTCGTCTGTTCGAAACCTTGCCGCCTTTTTCTAGGGCTTCGTTCACAACCTTTACAAGAATAGGGTTCTGCGCAGCTACCCACGGCAGTTAATTGCCATTTGTATGGATACATTAGTGAACTCGTTAATAACACTAGGGAACATCTAACCATATCTCACTTAACTTGACACTGTTACCTTGCTTGCTGCAGTCCGCACAGACATCATTTCCATTTTCCTGTTTTAGCGCCACTATAGCAGTTTTAGCCTTTTCATTTTGTCTCTTTATCGAGGACATTTTTTTTAAGCCTTTGCTTAAAGTAAACTTGCTGGCCAGTTAACTCATTACTCAGTCATGCAAGGACGATAATTATATTCTGACGAACCGAACATTTGTCCGTCAGTAAATCATTCGTCGACAAATTATTTGCTTCGGGTCGACAACAACAGGCCAAAATCTCGTATCACGTGAGCTACATGTCAAGTCTGTTTCAGTTAAAATCGCATTATCATAACGTTACAGGGAAAAAATAACACGGGCCCGAAAAGGAAGCTCGGAAATCAAAACCGAAAAACGATCATAAATCTTTCGTGCACTTCAAAAGTTTAATCTTCACGGAAGCGCAAGCACCTCTCACATGATTCGCTAATTCACAGAGGGCCTTGCCTGGTGAGGTTAACTTTCGACACAGCTTTAGCTAGTAAAATAAACATTCCTCTTCGAACTTTCGAAAACGGAATACCCATGTACTTTGGAATATTAATTAAACTTTACTCAGTGAACCTTGAGAGCTATGAAAAAAGCCATTTCTATTTGGTTTCTTCGATTAAAACGGATGTAAATAGCTTATTATTCATCATTTTCCCATTTTACTGAAAACGAAAATTTCGATTTATTATACGACTGAGAACTATCATTTCGAAAATTGGCACATTAGCCTTTCATCAGTAGAAAGGAACGTCAGTAATAAGTATACTTTTGCTTGCAGCGTGATTGTTTAAATTTTTTCAAGGTTGTCTCCTTGCGATACTTTCGGGAGTCCCGTGGAGTTCTTCAACACGGAAGTAAACAAAAAAAGCAGGGATTCCTCCCGGATATATTCATTGGAAAACGAGTGACGATCATGGTTCGAACCCTTTGCAAGGGTAATTTTCCTCTTCTGTGATTCTAATTTCAATTTCACAATTGCTTCAATAGTGTATATAACCATTGCTAACTGCAATTATTTCTCCTTTACCAAAATATCTATTACGAATGTAGGAATACGGAGGGGGGAGGAGGGGGGACTATATCGAGAGATGATAAAAGGGTTACGTCATAGTGTTTTTAGTCTTTTCTCTGCGGGTACAAAAGTACAAAAAATAAAAAGATGACTACAAACCGAATAAAAACAAAGATAGCTCAGGACAAAGAGGATTAAACTGGATTGCAAATGTGTATCAGTGATAAAGACACGGGCCTTCGAGCTCACTAACTACGAATGCGAGTGTTGGTGATGCAATGGAAGGCAAAGTAACTCAGATCGACTTTGATTTCCTTATTAACATACCAAGGAGAAACTCTGCTCTCATCAAGTGAATGACTTCTTCTCGTGTCGTCCCCATACATTTATGAACAGAATATTTCAGAAACTGGACAAAAAGGCAATGTTCCTCTTTTTCAAAGTCCACTAAGAACAGGGCTGTTGTAACCTTTAGGTATCCTTGCGCGCTTAAATGGCAACTGTAATAACATTCGATTTCATGCTGAAATCTATGTTCCAGACATTCGGCCTGTCACATGATAAAAACGGTGTGAAAAGATCGTGTCCTTGTATCCGACATCTCGGAAGTTCTGTGACTCTGCAAGTGCAGAGATCGAGAAAACAAAACATGTTTGATGAATTCTCCCATAGCTTCCATGACTGATTACAAGTTTTTATCCGAGTTCTGAGTAGGTCTGTAGGGATACTTGTGATGAAGAATGTAACTGGTTGCCTGAGTAAGCTGTTGTTTCACACTCTGGGTTACTTGCATCTCCAGTGTAACCTCTTTGAATACTTCGCTGATGGAAATCTGTCATTAAATAAGAAAAAAAAAAATTAAGTGAAATCTTCTATGTCTAGACACGGTAACTTTAAAATGGTGCGTGTACAGTGTCCTACAGAAGTATAGCCAGCTACTATGCGTAATGATGGATCTGAACAAATCACTCAATTTAGTAGTTTCCTCTAACTCTCTTTTTCATTCGGCAACTCCTCTTATTTATTTTTCCGCTTGATTTTGCTATTTCCTATTTCTCAAATTTTATACATTTTCATAAGCTTAAATAGCTTTTCAGTTGACGTGAACCACCTTGCAGAGATACGCCCATTCTAGTTGTTTGTTTAATGTATCTATTAAGGGTAATTTGGTGCTATCAATTGAGTTGAAAACGTAAATTGGCCACCGTAAAGAGTTTAAAGGCTGACGTTTCGAGCGTCAGCCTTTCGTCAGAGCCAATCGCTGTGGCCAGTTTACGTTTTCAGCTTAGTTGTTAACACTAAATTACCCTGTTATACTCTCCCACCGATGCAGTACCACAGTTTCTCTTGAAATTTATCCCCTTTAATGTATCTATAGCTTCGTAAGTCATTGCGGTTGCTATTGTTGCCGTTTTTTTCTGATCATTTCACTTAGGAGCGCAGCACAAGGATTTTATAGACATAAACTTATAAGAAAAAACTGATTTCATTGTCATGAATAGGACATAAACGCTTTTAAGCTAACCTCAACAAATCCCAATTTGCGGAAAAGTGCTAAACTTGGTTCGTTACCGCAACCAATCTTCGCTACATATTTTTTTACTCCTAGGCAGGTAACACCTAAAATTCATGTAGGAGAGATATAATCAATACCCTGATGATGATGAAACAAAACCCAAAATAAGTATACTATAGCTGGTCTATATAGGAAATAAGGAAGCCCAATGATCAGAAACCATGACCACGGATAGATAGATGCGGATAGAGAGTTCTGCAGTGCCTTTTTAGGGGTGTTTTCTATCATGTCACACCTTGTTTGGAGTTTTCCAGGCTGGTTACACGGATAAATACAAGCTTGAAGTGGAAAAAAAATTGCTGGAAACCTTACTGAAGGTAATCATGAATCTGGGTGTTCCACAAAATGAGTTGAACAGTTACCATAGTTCATCATGGCTAATAGGGCTTCTCTTCCAAGTCCACATCTTCTACAAGATGGTTCTGTCAAGCACATGGAAGTGGATTAATGGTGAAAAATGTTCAGCGAAAGAAATTGCTTCAGATTGTATAAGCACTGAATTTGAGGTAGCCACTTGTTTCAAAGTGAGTGAAGATATGTACTTATGTTCAAATCTCCTGCAAAGCAGTAAATAAGGTTGAGTCGTCTTGCATGGCTGTAATTTTCACCCTTTTCTTCCCATAGTTATGTAATCAATAAGAGAAAAGGGATGCTCTTGCTACACTAAAAGGAAATGCAAACAAAGCTAAGGAAACTAAATCTCTGATCCTTCAAGTAATTCTGAGTCAGGGAGTTATTTTGTTGATTAGAGGCCTGGAGGAGATCGTAAGTCAAAAAAACCACAGTAAATTATACCTGCTATCATAATTTCTATCTCTGCAACTTCTTGCTGGCTGTCATCAAAGAACAAATTGACATCACCAGCCATACATTCTTTAAACAAAAACATCCATTTATGCTTTAGTACACAATCAAACATGTATTGCCAACAAAAATGTGCTTTAGATACTTATAGCCAAACCTAATTTTACATGAGTACCCTTTTCATCATGACAAAAAAAAACATAATTTACTGAAGGCTAAAGCTCTCCATATAAATTTGTTGATTAAATATTATCGGGATATAATGATATGCACATATTGATTGAGACAAAGAAACAGACAAGAAAATATATGGCTCGAGACTGTGAGTGGTGAAGAGAATATGGCTGTACTTTAGTACAGCAGTATTCTGTATTATTCTGTACTACAGCTGCTGTACTATTGTACAGCAGCCCATTAAGCCCTAAGACTGCTGACCAGCTCAGAAAGATGCCTGCCATTTCCAGCCATGTTGTTTTGAATTATTCATAAGTTCTTCCAACTTTGTGACTTATTAATTGTTTATTTTTCATGTAAGTACACTTGTTACATTTGTAACTAGCTCTAAGGACATTGTTTAGACTTCCCTTGCTGTATTTAGAACTAGCTTATTTACATTTTTCACTCATCTGTAGGACTCCCTAATTGCTAAATAGCTTATCAAACAAGTCAAAACAAGAAGGTTGTATCTTCAAGCTTCATGGACTCCATACTTCATGACAAAAGACCACACATTTTCCTGTGCAGCCTGGCTGAATCAGTTTGACATGGTTTTGTTTGAATGTTATCACAGGAAGAGTTTTCCTTATTTTTTGGAAACTAAATGATGTAATAATTATGAACAGTTTACAAACCTATTTCTGTAACTTCTGGATGGACCCATTTGTTTCTGTCCAAGATGATAAATGTACACTCTGAATTGTTAAAAATATATATATATATAAAAAAATGAATTAGTACCCAATTGTTTCTGTCCAAGATGATAAATGTACACTCTGAATTGTTAAAAATATATATATATATATAAAAAAAATGAATTAGTACCCAATTATCAAAATTTGAATCCAGTACCTGCATCAAATGGTTGTACAATTTCATTGTACACTAACCACAGGTGGCCCAAGCTCATGTCTCAAGAAAAAGCCAATGCTTAATTCATGAAAGTGTCATGCGTTGTGTGAGTCAATGTTAAGTTAAAACAGGAACCATTGAAAATTTGAACACGTTATAAGGAATAGTAAGGAGAACAAGATATGGTTGATTGAAAATGATAAATATTTCAAAATATGAATATTTTACAAGTAAAATCAATAAAACTTACTCACATCCTGTGTGTCCGTTGTAGTTTCTGATGATTTCTACTGTTTTAAGCTTGCTTTACCATCACTGTTATTCACAACAAAAGATGAAGTCTTTTGACAGGAATACCAGTGATGGTAAAGCAAGCTTAAAATGGCAGAAATTGCCAGAAACTACAACGGATACACAAGGTATGAATAAGTTTTTGTTAATTTTGTGTGTAAAATGTTCATATTTTGAAATATTTATTGTTATAAATCAACCATATTTCATTCCCCACACTATTCCTTAAAACATGTTCAAATTTTCAATGGTTCCTCTCGTAATTTAACACCAAGTCACACAATGCGTGATGCCTTCATGAATTAATTGTTGGCTTTTTCTCAAGACATGAGCTTGGGCTGCCTATGTGCTAACAAGCCTAGATTGATTGAACCTTAACCCTTTAACTCCCAGAAGTGATTAACATACAACATCTCTTTATAGCATCCATACATTATCCAGCAAGCAGGTAGTGAGAATAATCAAATTTATCACATACAAGATATTATCTTGATTAAACACCAAATTCTCATAACCAATTTACAAGGAAATGTATAGCAGCTAGAGGAGAGAATTAACAATCATATCTTAGGAGTTAAAGGGTTAACCCTTTACACCCTGACATTTGTATTCACATTCTCCTCACTGATCTCTCTACATTTTCTGTGGTAATAACCGGGAAAATTTATTTGACAATTAGGAGGTTAACCCTTTAGCCCCTAAGAGTGATGAGTATCTAATTTCTCCCAACTATATCACTCCTGAATCAAACATAAAAGTTATGAGAATAGAGGAGATGATCACCAACTAAAGCAGCTCTTGACTGTTACACAAATTCTCCTTGTCAGCCTCTTTGGAAATGTATGAGGAACAGTATGAAGAATATACATACTGATGTCGGGGGGGTAAAGAGTTAAAGCCCAAGAGTGCCATATGGCATAAGATGCCATTTCATACTCAATTTTTAATAATTTCTTCTGAAATTTTCACAACCAAAAAGTCATTGAAAGATTTGCACATTGAAAGCAAAAAATCATGGCCCCCTCCAATATAACACTTGATTTACCACCCCTGTAACTTTTTGTCCTCATATCATTTTGGTCAAGGTGATATCTCACAACAATCAATGCTCTGAGAGCTGCAATTAGGCCATAATTTAGTGGTATGCCCTATACATACAAGGCAAACAAAAAATTTCAAGATATTTTATATTTCACTTTGGACACTTCTCAGTCTTTTCAGTTATCTCCTCCATACCTGTTGGTGTCAATTATAGCATACTCCAAAAAATACCTTTAAAGTGATATATCATACATGATCTAATGGTTCATTGTCCTCATTTAAGAAACATTTGGCATTTCCCTCAAGCAGTAAAGAATTAAATTTGTGATCTTTTCCATTATTCTTGTGACCATTATATACGATTCAAGACTGATACTGTAAGGAGAAATTAGATGCAAGCAACACTTAGTGGTTAACAGGTTAATTGTCTTGCAAACTTTTATTTCCTTACTAAAAGAACCACCTCATAGGTCCAGCTTAAGTGGACAATGTAGTCTAGTTTCAATGATAGCAACTGACATACTGTTTTCATCTAAGAACCAACTCTGTTGCATTTCATATTCCTGATCCAGTGTCAGTCTTTCAGATGCTGTTTGCTCCAACAGTTCTGGTGACTGCATCCAGTCATGATATCTTGAAGATAAAACAGTGCAACAGAACTAGATAATTAATGAAGTGCAATTGCACTTTGTAGATTCTAGAGGATTCCCAAACAAATTTATTGTGCCCCGATAGAGACTCTCCTTACTTCATGTCACATTCAGTGGAGGGCATACTCACAAACTGACAGTCTGACAAACTGACAGTCTGACAAACTGACTGGCTTACTGATTGATTAACTTATGAACGAAGGGGTAAGTTTCTAAAAAAACTGTGGTGCTGCGTCGGTGGGAGAGTATAGCAGGTAATTTAGTGTTAACAACTGGGTTGAAAACGTAAATTAGCCACCGTAAAGAGTAAAAAAGCTGACGTTTCGAGCGTTAGCCCTTCGTCAGAGCGATTGACGATTGACGATTGATCGCTCTGACGAAGGGCTAACGCTCGAAACGTCAGCTTTTTTACTCTTTACGGTGGCTAATTTACGTTTTCAACCCAGTTGTTAACACTAAATTACCTGCTAACTTATGAACGGACTGACAGACACGCAGATACCCTGACTATTTTCAAGTTAACAAATTGATACAAACCAAAACAACTTAGGATGAATGGGTTTATTTTCGAACTTTTAATCTAGAACCTAAAATAGAAAGATTTCTGTATGACCCGATGCTTCGTTATGCATACAGTTTTGACAAAGGAGAAGACAATGCCCAAACAGCAGATTGCCTCTCAGACTAATGCTTTGATTTAGGACAGTATACGGTTATATAGAAATATTTCCTCTAAAAATTCATCTCCAACTCCATGATTCTGCAAACATACCTTGGAACGTGTTCCTTTCTGTAAGGTACTAGGACTATTTTTCTCCCCTCCAAGAGTATATCACTGTTGACTTTCATAACTTACCGGCTATCCCCAACTCAGGTCAACTCACCCCTCAACAGTTGCCTACAAGTACTAGTCAGCGGTCACAACAACCAGTCTTCACTCGTCACTTAAAGTCCGGAAGTAAACATGTGACTGACCCCTATGATTAGTCATTCTTAAAGATTGCATCTGCAGGTTAACAGTATCTTTAGCATCAAGGATGGTTGCAGTTACCGAAACAGGTTCTCCATATTCTACGCCAGTAAGTGTACGGTCTTATTGAAGGTTGCTGTTCTTGATTCATCCTTCTGCTTGCTCTGAAGATAACATGCATCCGAGTTCTCGCTTTCCTCTTCGACGTCACGAGTATTTTGCAAGGAACTTTTACTTTAAATTACTCAATTTTTGTTCAATTATTCTCTCTAAAACTTGTCGCCTGTAATTGCTGATTAATACATGTTAAATAGATCATTTATTCCTGGCAACTTATGATTGAAGCCTCTAAACTCTAAGCAGAAAACAAAAACGATGTTTGACTAATTTCTGCGACATTGTGTAATGAGAAATTTTTACCAACTAACCAACGGAAATATGGATGTATTCTCTCCCTCGTTCTTCCAGGTTGCCTTTATATATGTTTTCAATTTGATTATTGGAGTTGGAGCATTGACAATGCCCAAGGCATTTGCAAATGCGGGTTGGTTGATCGCATCAGTTCTGATAGGTATTTTATGCCTGATGAGGTTAGTGGAGGTCTATTATTATCATTATCATTATTATGGTGTTATCATAACAGCATTGATTATTGTTTGTTTTATTTTAGTTTTGCAATACTCCCCCATCCACTCCCCCCATATCTCATATTACAAGACCTTGAAGGTCATAGCCCATACAAAGATCAAACTGCCCCATGATGAAGCCGACTACTTTCAGCTGATGCTACAGAATGATACATGATACAGTGATTGTAGTCCTCTATGATCATGGGCAAAACAGGTTGCCTTGCCAAAGATAATAGCCAGCAATCAAGGGATGTATAGTATTTAAGTAGTCAGCTGATATGTGATCAGTGGATATTCAAATGTTGTTTGTTTATCATTGTTTATTTACTGACATGTCAGCTGATTACCAACAAGTGTTGAGACTTCAGCTGAACATGGGCTGACTATCTACTGACCAAATATCGGCTTTTGACTTTATCAATCTACCTCTAAAATGGATTTTACCAACATTGATTGAATGAATCAATGAGAAGTCTCTGTTATGCTGTCAATTCAAAGTAGTTGTTATGCTATTTTTTATTGTGTGTGTGCAAATCTTTTACAAAATATCTAAGACAATTTATACCAGTATGCTCTCTATGGTCAATAGATGCATTTGGATTAGAGTTTGCGAACACAGTGTGATATTACACTTTCTGTGTTTCAATTTCTATGTGGAAGTATTTGATAAAAGTAACCCTTTACACCCTAAAGTCGGTATACATATTCTCTGACTGTTCTTAGTACATTTTTTAAGGTACTTACAAGGAAAATTTGTCTAATATTCAAGAGCATCTTTAGTTGGTGATCATTTCTTTTATTCTCATAACCTTTATGTGTGATTCAAGGGTGATGTTGTAAGGAGAGATTAGATGATAGTCACTCTTAGGGGTTACAGGGTTAATAGAAGACTTTTCTGTGTTTACTCTTCCTCTTATAATAACTCAGGGGTTGAGAACATTTTTGTGTTTAGAAGAGGCTCTACAAACACAGAAGAGTCCTCTATTGCTTGAATAACAGAAATCTGTCGACCTTTTTACCCAGTTACCTCTATAAAGAATGTGTGAGAAGATTTTAAATTATAGATGTAAGTTTCATGCATTATTCAAGTTTTGGTTTTACTTTTGTATCTTTTTCTACACATGCTTCACTTAGATCAAAACTTTAATTCTCCTTACCACCAACCATACAATTTCTATAATGTTAGTTCAGAGAATTAAGTATTGAATTAACTAATTAACCCCAAACTGATATTTTTCTTTATTCTCATCGCTAATCTGCTTGATATTGTATTGATATTGTAAGGAGAAATTATGTCTTGGTCACTTATGAAGGTTAAAGGGTTAATTTCTTAAATTGTATGAAACATTGACTAAAAAATTCAGTCATGTGAAAAACATGTGATTAGCATGTAAATAACATGTGATTGTCACCTTAGTAATAAACTTCTCATACAGATTTTAAGTTTTTTTTGTAATTTTACTCTAACTTTTGCTTATAACTGCTCCCAATGGAATGTTTTGAGAAAATAGACCAAAAGGATGTTTTGACTGTCATACTATTTTAACTGCCAAAAACTTTGCCATGATTTCAAGGTAACAATAATGTCACTAAATAAAGCAGATGTTTCTGCTGAGCATGGCTGCAGATTTTAAAGTTTTCACAATTTACCTATTAAAAAAAAAGTAACATTTGGTATTATACAACTGCCCTACTTATTGACCCTGATACTAGGTAAATTGGTTTAACTACTGATTTTACTGAATAAATTGAAACTCAAAATACTTTTTAATATTGATGTTTAGTTTTATAACCTCCACATTCATGGTAGAGGCAATGGCTGCTGCTAATGCTATGTTACGTCTAAAAGCAAGAGAAAAAAGTTTGTCAGCACCAGTAAGTATTAACTGCATTTTTATTTGATTTTTACATTTACTTTTGCAATTAAGGACCAGTGAACCTAATCATCTCTTAAACCTGGCCTCCTTTAACTCTCAGAAGTGATTTACATGTAAATTCTCCTAAATGTCCTAAATGTCTATCACTCCTCCAAGTATCAAAAGTCCTGGAATTTTTCTTCCTTTAGGAAAGAAACTACAAACAGTGTTACACCTCTTACAATGGACAAGTTAAATTCATTCTTCAACAGTTTATTGGTAAAGAGATAATCAAGTTTAATGATCATGTGTTCCTTTTTTTGTTAGATACATCCTTCTACTGGTAGTGCCTTAAGTGCTGGTTCTAATGGCGAAAAAGATTCATCTTCTGATGACCCTGATGAGAATGTGCCGCTGCTTATTAGTGAGTAATTATGGAGTCAAGTGAACTTTTTTTATGAAAGTGATAAAATAAATAATATATGACGTTCTGTACCACTGCATACTAGTTGCTTTGCATACCACTGAAATAGTCTAAGAATGCAATATGGTTAGCAGTGACAACAACAGCAAAGGTTCATATGATGCCAGTTTTTGAGGTTCACATGGCATGTCAATGCCTAATACTTGAACAACCAAAGGGAGAGATGCAAATTTTCATTAAGAAAATGACAAGCCTCAGTTATATTTCATGAAATGTTTATCTCAGTGAACTTTGGACCATTCACACTAGGTGCTTGAAAAGCACCCCCGTCAGGTTTGCTTCTTGTCTGCCAAACACATCAAGCCTAAGTGGTGACAACCATAACAATGGCAGCTTGGAGCACTGTGATGTCATATGGCAAATGAGGCAGGATCCCTAGAACTGAGTTTAGATTATTAAGCACCAGTTTAAAAGTAAGTTGGTGATGTATAATGTATATACTTGGGGAATGAATGGTTTACGAAGATGTCTTTGGTCATAGAGCAAGGCGAAAACATCTGACAACATGGTTTTCTTATAAAACTGTTTTATGCTAGTGTTTTTTCTGAAATGTCTATGATAATTCAAAAATCTGTTAAATTTTTGGCAAAAAGAGATTTTATAAAATTTTAGCAGGAAAAATTCCTCTTTGAATTTTTATAAAAAAATTGATAATGTGGAGCATGAGAACTGCATTCCTCCTAAATACAGAGCTTATGCTTGAAAAAAATTTTAAAAAAGCCTTGATTGAGGGCAGATAATTTTCTTGTTTACCACTGCTAGATGCATTGGGTAGCTCAAGAGGAGATCTCTATGATATATCCAAGCGTGTAGAAATGGTGAGTGCTCTGTAGAGACTCTTCTCTCCTTGCTTTTGATTTATTTCCACACAGTAATGAGAAACAGCTGAAAAAATCTTTATTACATTCATTTTGAAATTACCAGTGATCCTTGCGATCTGATTTGCTCTAATCAGTGCTATTTATTCACAAATTACACCAGTTTTTGCTTTAAATCACACTTTTTTCCCAACCAATGACAGAGCTTTAATAAAAGAAAACAACCAATCAAATTTCAAGGCTGGTTTTAAAGAAACCAACCAAATTGCAGGAAAATGAAATACAGCTTTTGCAACTTTTTACAAATCATGCTTACAATATTAGACCAAATTGCACTCCACTTAGCTCAATTACCATTATTAAGTTGTTTACTTACACCTATAATTAGCTGTGACATCTCTGTTCTATAATGGTGATACATATTTTTCCTCTGTTTGTAGGGTCAGATGGCCAACCTTTTTTTCAGTAAACGTAAGTAATGAATTAAGTTGCTGGTCTAAGAACAGTCCCACTATCTTTTACTCTGAAACTCTGTGCTTTGAGGTGCATTTTTGGAGAAAAGAGCAAGTACAAACCTACCATTGACTTAGGGGTGGCAAAAAGGCTGGCAGTAAAGAACAGAAACAGTGCAAAGCAAGAGAACTTTTAGCAGTGTTTTGCTGTTTGGCTTGAAAAGCAAAATTGAAACCACCACAGAGTTAAAACAAAAGTTGTGTCATTTGCTCCTCTTAATTATTCTCCTTGTCAGTATCTAAAGAAATGTATAGGAATTAGTGTGGAGAATTTGCATACAGATATTGAGGTGTCAAGGTAATCTCAGCCCCATTGTGCTTGCTATAGTACTCTATGGACGTTTTAATCAACTTTGTGTTATTAATGATTATTAATAATATTGTTTTATTATTAGTTGGAGTCCGACTGTTCTACTTCTGCATTGTGTTGTACCTGTACGGTGATTTGGCAATATATGCAGCTGCTGTTCCAAAGTCTTTAACTAAAGTGACATGGTAAGATGGTTAGATTTATATATTATATTTGTTAATCTATTTATTCATAAGAAAATAGCGGGGCGATGGGGGATGAGAGGTGGCTATGACAAACTGCCTTCTAGAGAAGTGGGTAACCTCTACAGCTTTGACAGTGGCATCAACCTTGGTACTGTCAATCACAAGAATATTCAATATCTTACTTGAGGGTCGGTAGGGAAGAAGTTAGCTGGCGTTTAAGATTAGTGCTGCAGGACGGGCGTTTCTCCGCCCGCGGTGAGATTTGAGACGAGACGGGTAGTGGTTTGCTTGGGTGTTTTGGGCACTAATATCAGTGCTAGATCCCTCGCAGACCCCTCCCTGGTTTGTGTTTCAAGGTCTCAAACTTTCCAACAGGCGAAGAAACGCTTGTGCCGTGACGCTAATAGAGAGGTCCTCCTCGATCAGGTTTTCATCAGCACTGCTTAACAAATATCTCACAGACTTCTTGCGAAGAGTGCGAGGGCTCAACTGGCCTGCCTTGCTCGCTGGCAAGAGGTCTAGCAGGAGTTCTGGCAGGCTCCTCACCGGCCTCTTGAAGGGTTCACAAGAAGGTTGTGAGATGCTCGTGGAGCAGCGCTAAGAAGAACTTGCGCATAGGCTAGTCTGCTATGAGCCCTTGGACTTTTTCCTACTTATTGCAACGGTCAAAACAGCTGCCTGAATAACATCTAGAGGCTTCCATTAAAACTTTTGTCATAATTCTTAATCTTTTAGTTGTAACAATACCCGTATCCCATTCGGAAGAGAGCCGATTACCGTTGCAAAGTGTTGTGCTAAACTTTGATTTGATTTTTTTCCCTTTTCCCAGCGGATCTTGGAATGAAACTGATTCTACCAAATCCAACAACAAGACTTGTCCAGGATGGGGCTCTGTCACACAAGGCAATGTTTATCGTGTCTTTTTAGTAAGTGTTTTTATCCAGCAAGCTCCTAAAAAATAAGTTTGTGTGTTGGTATGCGTGATAGTGTGCGAGATAGAATGTGTAATGGTATGTGTGATAGTATGCGTGTACCCTGCGTGATCGTATGCATTATAATTTTTTTGGGCCTCGCCCTCATCAACTATCACGCACAGAAATCGAGAGCTCATCGTGTAATCTTTAGATAAAAGCGTTATGTATGTACTGCGGGTGTATTTACTCAAAGTGCATGATCCTGAAGCAACATGTTTATAGGGAAGGACCCAGCACTTGACTTGCTCGTTTCTGTTCCTTTTTCAGGCCATTTTCACCGTCACATTAGGACCATTTGCATTTTTCAACGTACAGAAAACAAAATACTTGCAGATTTTTACCACACTCATGAGATGGGTTGGTAAGTGGGTAGTTTATTTGTACTTTCCTGATTTCTTGTCTTATTACTGTTTTTTTCTTATCAGCGGGTTACATATCTTTGAATTTTTAAAGTTTGGTCTACTTTGAAATCAGGGGGGCAAGTTTCTAAATAAAATGTGGTGCTGCGTCGGTGGGAGAGTATAATAGAAATTAATTTAGTAGCATCAAAGTAATTTAGTATTATCTACTGAGTTTAAAACGTAAATTGGCCACGGTAAAAAGTTTAACAGCTGGCGTTTCGAGCGTTAGACCTTCGTCAGAGCGATTGAAGAAGGGCTAACGCTCGAAACGTCAGCTTTTAAACTCTTTACAGTGGCCAATTTACGTCATCAACTCAGTAGATAATACTAAATTACTTTGAAATCACACTCGCATATAAAAAGTTCAATTGCCACTTATCGGAACACTAGAAATAATTACCAAAAACATGAATGTACGGGAGTGTGATTGAAAAACCTCGTATTAAATGTAGCCGTGTATTTCTCACGGTATCCCAATGCAGATGGTTTTCGATCTCCTCAAGTTTCTCCCATCCATGCATTGGGTCTTTCTGTACACTGTCAGAGATGAAGAGGAATGAAGAGGCCATGCTAATGTGTTTTACGTCTGCTTTTCAACAGCCTTTATCATGATGATTGTCATCGCTGTAGTCAAGATTGGTAAGGGCCAGGGGGAGCATGATACACCTACAGCAAGCATCTCCGGGCTACCTAATCTGTTCGGAGTGTGTGTGTACTCATACATGTGCCAGCATTCGCTCCCATCTCTAATCACACCAATGAAGAACAAGTCGCGTATCACGTTGCTCTTTGTCGCTGACTTCGCCATAGTCCTGATTTTTTACGCTCTGTTGTCCTTCACCGCCATCTTTGCCTTCCGCTCAGAGGACTTGAACGACTTGTATACGCTTAACTTCAGGAAAACCTCCGGCAGCTTTGTGGGATATTTCCTCGCACTGTTTCCCGTTTTCACTCTCAGCACCAATTTCCCGATCATTTCCATAACCCTCCGCGACAATCTAAAGAATTTGTTTCACCGCGAAGGACGACCCTACCCCTGGGTCGTGGACCGGATCGTTTTTCCACTCTCCACGATCACCTTGCCTATCATAGTGGCCTTCATTACGCAGAACTTGGAAATACTCGTCGGCGTAACGGGGTCTTACGCCGGCACTGGAGTGCAGTATGTTATCCCAGCCTGCCTTGCGTACTTTGGCAAGAAACAGTTGACGGAGATGACAGGTCGCTATGACAACAAGCACAAGTCTCCCTTCGGATGGAGTTTGTGGATCGTGTTCGTGATTGGCTGGGCGTTTGTCTGTATAGCTTTGGTGACGGTAAATCATATCATTGCCAAAAAATAATCTGATAGAATCATTTCCAAAAATGAGTAATTATGCTGTGAAATCGATGAATTGGGCGGTATCAAGAACAAATATAAATTATTATTATTATTGTTAATATTATTAAATAATTTGTAATTAACTATAAAATTGATAAGCTGCTTCAGGTGTTAAGATTTTGATATGAAGATTAAAATCAGAGGCCATATGCTGGATCTGAATATTATTATTATGAAGTTGCAGGTTCAATTTTGATTAATTCTCCATCACATTAAATGAGTAACGGTTGATTGTGTCGTCTAATCGTCTGGGTGAGAATAGGACTCTTGTTGATACGAGTCCAAGTTTATTCTAGAAATTGGTCAAAGAGGGTAGAGAAAGCCCTTTGTCAAGAAAGGGCCAGGACAGCGGCTACGCAGAAAGATGTTTGAACTAATGTGTTTAGTCTTGTCGGTGGTAGAACGAGATAGAGAAAAGCAGAGCTGCGCTCTAGAATGGAGCTTGGTAGTAACTGACGATTTGACAACTTGAGGGGAATTCAGGAGGTGAGGAGGTGATTGTCAGTTGAATGTAATAAGTTGGTTCGTGGAAAGTAATTGGTCAGTTTTGATGTGTTTTTATAGGCTGTTAGATTCAAATCATTGTGACCGACAACATTACTTTACACGACCACTCTCGCCAGGACAATCAGACGACACCATCATTTTCGATTGTCTCTTTGTTCCTTTAATACAGGAAGAATTAGATGTAGTTTAGGAATTTATTTTCAAAAATAAAATTTTAACTATGAGTGGTTCTTAGTTTTGTCTTTTGGTTGTTTGTTCAACAAATACAAAAGTTTTGTATCAATTGAATATTTGCTTCTTTACAGCCAACTTATAAAACAGTCTGACAGCCCAAAGTAAATTGTATCATACCTGACAGAGGAGAATGCATACTCACCATGTTATTGAGTTTCACTAACTAGCAGTTAGATACTGTTTTACGAGCTGAAGTGGATCACTCCTGTCGTGACAGAATGAATGCTTTACTGTTGAAGTTAGCCAATTTTATGGGTTTTCTGAGTAATAAATAGGCTTTTCAGAATTAGGTTAAATGGATCACAACCTTTTTAATATTTGGATGTGTTCGTGTTGGTCTGTGTTCAGATGTGCTTTGAGATAGGAAGCTTCGATCGCCTGAGAGCCTTCATGAAAGTAACCGATTGGAGACCGAGTGTGTTTTAATTGGTGTCTCTTCATAAGCAATCAGGGAATAAGATCGATGGTATTTTTTTGTTTATGGTTTTGTTGTTCATTTTTGTATGTTTTTGTTGTTGTTGTTGTTGTTGTTGTTGTTTTCCCTTATGGGATATTCTGATTGTCGTGATACAATTGATCAGCAGATGACCCTTTTCGATTTGTATAAAATTTATCGCAAAAAATGCAAAACTTCAAATGTCTGCAACAAAATATTGTCTGGCCTTTATTACTATGTAACCTCTTTAAATATAATGCAAAATCTTGACTTAAAACATACAACCGTGAATTTTAAATAAGTGAACAATTTCAACAATTCTGCTGACTCTTCGAGTCGTGAACCCTACGAAAATACTGTTTAATCAGTGGCGGATCTAGGGGAGGGACCCGGGAGGCTCG